ATAAAAATTAAAAAAATGATAAAAAATAAATTAAAAAATTAAAATAAAAAATGTGAAAAAACTAAACTAAAAAAAAATTTTTTGTTTCAGTTTTAAAATTTCCATTTCGGTGCACCTCTAATAGAAACTGTTAGTTCAGTCCAGTGTAACATACTTTACCAATGCTTGGGAAGGATGGGTAGCCCAAGTAAGGTGAGGTGTTTTCCCACTTAGGATAGAAAGCTCTGATAACCAAAGACAATGCAGAATGGAATTTCGGTTTCTGTGAACCCTTGCCAATAACGCACCTAAGTGATAAGGAAGGGGGTATTAGTGATGTCCCAGGTTGACACGGGTAATAAGGGGGGTATTAGTGATGTCCCAGGTTGACCCAAGTGATAAGGAAGGGGGTATTAGTGAAGTCCCAGGTTGACACGGGTGATAAGGGGGGGTATTAGTGATGTCCCAGTTTGACCCGGGTGATAAGGGGGGTATTAGTGATGTCCCAGGTTGACCCATGTGATAAGGGAGGTACTGGCGATGTCCTAGGTTGACCCGGGTGATAAGGGGGGGTATTAGTGATGTCCCAGGTTGACCCATGTGATAAGGGAGGTACTGGCGATGTCCTAGGTTGACCCGGGTGATAAGGGGGGGTATTAGTGATGTCCCAGGTTGACCCATGTGATAAGGGAGGTACTGGCGATGTCCTAGGTTGACCCGGGTGATAAGGGGGGGTATTAGTGATGTCCCAGGTTGACCCATGTGATAAGGGAGGTACTGGCGATGTCCTAGGTTGACCCGGGTGATAAGGGGGGGTATTAGTGATGTCCCAGGTTGACCCATGTGATAAGGGAGGTACTGGCGATGTCCTAGGTTGACCCGGGTGATAAGGGGGGGTATTAGTGATGTCCCAGGTTGACCCATGTGATAAGGGAGGTACTGGCGATGTCCTAGGTTGACCCGGGTGATAAGGGGGGGTATTAGTGATGTCCCAGGTTGACCCATGTGATAAGGGAGGTACTGGCGATGTCCTAGGTTGACCCGGGTGATAAGGGGGGGTATTAGTGATGTCCCAGGTTGACCCATGTGATAAGGGAGGTACTGGCGATGTCCTAGGTTGACCCGGGTGATAAGGGGGGGTATTAGTGATGTCCCAGGTTGACCCATGTGATAAGGGAGGTACTGGCGATGTCCTAGGTTGACCCGGGTGATAAGGGGGGGTATTAGTGATGTCCCAGGTTGACCCATGTGATAAGGGAGGTACTGGCGATGTCCTAGGTTGACCCGGGTGATAAGGGGGGGTATTAGTGATGTCCCAGGTTGACCCATGTGATAAGGGAGGTACTGGCGATGTCCTAGGTTGACCCGGGTGATAAGGGGGGGTATTAGTGATGTCCCAGGTTGACCCATGTGATAAGGGAGGTACTGGCGATGTCCTAGGTTGACCCGGGTGATAAGGGGGGGTATTAGTGATGTCCCAGGTTGACCCATGTGATAAGGGAGGTACTGGCGATGTCCTAGGTTGACCCGGGTGATAAGGGGGGGTATTAGTGATGTCCCAGGTTGACCCATGTGATAAGGGAGGTACTGGCGATGTCCTAGGTTGACCCGGGTGATAAGGGGGGGTATTAGTGATGTCCCAGGTTGACCCATGTGATAAGGGAGGTACTGGCGATGTCCTAGGTTGACCCGGGTGATAAGGGGGGGTATTAGTGATGTCCCAGGTTGACCCATGTGATAAGGGAGGTACTGGCGATGTCCTAGGTTGACCCGGGTGATAAGGGGGGGTATTAGTGATGTCCCAGGTTGACCCATGTGATAAGGGAGGTACTGGCGATGTCCTAGGTTGACCCGGGTGATAAGGGGGGGTATTAGTGATGTCCCAGGTTGACCCATGTGATAAGGGAGGTACTGGCGATGTCCTAGGTTGACCCGGGTGATAAGGGGGGGTATTAGTGATGTCCCAGGTTGACCCATGTGATAAGGGAGGTACTGGCGATGTCCTAGGTTGACCCGGGTGATAAGGGGGGGTATTAGTGATGTCCCAGGTTGACCCATGTGATAAGGGAGGTACTGGCGATGTCCTAGGTTGACCCGGGTGATAAGGGGGGGTATTAGTGATGTCCCAGGTTGACCCATGTGATAAGGGAGGTACTGGCGATGTCCTAGGTTGACCCGGGTGATAAGGGGGGGTATTAGTGATGTCCCAGGTTGACCCATGTGATAAGGGAGGTACTGGCGATGTCCTAGGTTGACCCGGGTGATAAGGGGGGGTATTAGTGATGTCCCAGGTTGACCCATGTGATAAGGGAGGTACTGGCGATGTCCTAGGTTGACCCGGGTGATAAGGGGGGGTATTAGTGATGTCCCAGGTTGACCCATGTGATAAGGGAGGTACTGGCGATGTCCTAGGTTGACCCGGGTGATAAGGGGGGGTATTAGTGATGTCCCAGGTTGACCCATGTGATAAGGGAGGTACTGGCGATGTCCTAGGTTGACCCGGGTGATAAGGGGGGGTATTAGTGATGTCCCAGGTTGACCCATGTGATAAGGGAGGTACTGGCGATGTCCTAGGTTGACCCGTGTGGTAAGGGAGGTACTGGTGATGTCCTAGGTTGACCCGTGTGATAAGGGAGGTACCTAGGAGGTACTGGTGATGTCCTAGGTTGACCCGTGTGATAAGGGAAGTACTGGTGATGTCCTAGGTTGACCCGTGTGATAAGGGAGGTACTGGTGATGTCCTAGGTTGACCCATGTGATAAGGGAGGTACTGGTGATGTCCTAGGTTGACCCGTGTGATAAGGGAGGTACTGGTGATGTCCTAGGTTGACCAGTGTGATAAGGGAGGTACTGGTGATATCCTAGGTTGACCCGTGTGATAAGGGAGGTACTGGTGATGTCCTAGGTTGACCCAGGTGATAAGGGAGGTACTGGTGATGTCCTAGGTTGACCCAGGTGATAAGGGAGGTATTAGTGATGTCCCAGAGACTGACTCAGTGTTCTCTGTACAGCACTGTGGTATATGTCAGAGCTATATAAATGTATAATAATAGTGTGTGACTGTGGGGGGACATTAGAGTGTAAGCTCCTCGGGTGCAGAGACTGATGTGACTGGTTCAGTTATTTTCTGTACATCACTATGGATTATGTCAGAGCTATATGCAGTAACTGTATGATAGAACTGTGTAAGCTTATCTAGGGCAGAAATCGATATAGACGGCCAGTGATCTCTATACCGCACTGCTGGACATTTAGCAGTAACCTCCTCGGGGGTGGGGACTTGTGTCAGTGCAGTCTACTGAAAAACAGCCATCAGTTTCCAGCTTCGAATTGGCTGGTGAGCAATGACTGAGCAAAAAAGAAGCAATAACCCCACAGCCAATCAGAAACCCTGAAAAAGGGACGGCCCTCCAGATTAGAACACAAAGAACCTAAGAGGAGACCATACCTTTGCAAAAAATATCAAACGGGAGTCCAGATAGAAAAGCATTTTATTGGTCTTTGGACACCCCAACCACCCGAATCGTAATTTATTCCTGCGGACTAGTATGAGTCTTCTGATGCTTCATAAGTGTCCATTTCAGTGTGAAGCTCCGGCCACAATCTGAACACTGGAACGGTTTCTCACCGGTGTGAATTCGGCGATGTTTGTCCAGGTTGGATTTGTGCGAGAAGCTTTTCCCGCAATCCGAGCAACAGTACGGCTTCTCCCCAGTGTGAACGCGTTCGTGCTTCATCAGGTTGGCCTTCTGAGTGAAACGTTTCCCGCAGTGTGAGCACGGGAATGGCTTCTCCCCGGTGTGGGTCCGGATGTGCTTCACCAGCGTCATTTTGTCCTTGAAGCTTTTGCCGCACTCGGTACATGGGAAGGGGCGCTCGCCGGTGTGGCCCTTCCGGTGCTTAATGAGAAAAGACATCCGCGTGAAGCTCTTCCCACACTCTGGGCAGGCGAAGGGGCTTTGGCTGGCGTGCATTCTCTGGTGATCCGCAAGGTAGGAGCGGCGGGTGAAACGCTTCCCGCACTCGTGGCACAAAAAAGTTTTCTCGGCCCCGTGAACCACTTGATGGTCAACGAGACTGGAACGGCGAGTAAAGCGCTTGTCGCAGTCGGGGCAGGAAAATGGCTTCTCGCCCGTGTGAGATCTTTGGTGCTCCGCCAGGATGGATTTGAGTGTAAAGCGCTTGCCGCACTCTGAGCAGGAATATGGACGTTCACCGGTATGTATGCGCAGGTGCTCAACCAGGGACGACCTCAACGTGAAGGACTTTCCACATTCTGAACATGAAAACGGTCTTTCCTGCCGGTGAAACTTTGCGTGCTTTACCAGATTGGACCGCTGAGCAAAACACTTCCCGCACTCGGGGCACAAAAACGGCTTTTCCCCGGAATGAGTCCTCTGGTGTATGATGAGACCCGAGTTATAGGCAAAACATTTCCCACACTCAGAGCACGAGAGGGGCTTTGAGCTTGTGATGTTCCTCAGCATATTGTTGACATTCCGAGAATGGGAACCCTCATTCTCCGACCCAGGAAATATCTCATCACCTCTGTGAGAAGACTCCTCGATATTAGGGGAATCCCCTGATCCAACCAGTCGTGGAGGAATCTCTGGGATAACAGGGCTTTCTCCTTCTTCTGGGATATCGTCACCTTCTAACTCATAATCTGAATAGGTTTTTACAACGTTGTATCCATCTGCAAGTGACAGAAAAGACATTTGTAATAGTGGACACCAGAGATGGTAGCAATGACGGAAGAGGTAGGTGCAGTGTGAAGGAACATTAGAGATTAAGCATTGTGGAAGACTCCAGAGATGGTGCAGTGTGGATGACACAGGAGATGGTGCAGTGTGAAGGACACAGGAGATGGTGCAGTGTGAAGGACACAGGAGATGGTGCAGTGTGAAGGACACAGGAGATGGTGCAGTGTGAAGGACACAGGAGATGGTGCAGTGTGAAGGACACAGGAGATGGTGCAGTGTGAAGGACACAGGAGATGGTGCAGTGTGAAGGACACAGGAGATGGTGCAGTGTGAAGGACACAGGAGATGGTGCAGTGTGAAGGACACAGGAGATGGTGCAGTGTGAAGGACACAGGAGATGGTGCAGTGTGAAGGACACAGGAGATGGTGCAGTGTGAAGGACACAGGAGATGGTGCAGTGTGAAGGACACGGGAGATGGTGCAGTGTGAAGGACACGGGAGATGGTGCAGTGTGAAGGACACGGGAGATGGTGCAGTGTGAAGGACACGGGAGATGGTGCAGTGTGAAGGACACGGGAGATGGTGCAGTGTGAAGGACACGGGAGATGTTGCAGTGTGAAGGACACGGGAGATGGTGCAGTGTGAAGGACACGGGAGATGGTGCAGTGTGAAGGACACGGGAGATGGTGCAGTGTGAAGGACACAGGAGATGGTGCAGTGTGAAGGACACAGGAGATGGTGAAGTATGAAGGCCACGAGAGATGGTGAAGTGTGGAGGACACCAGAGATGGTGAAGCGTGGAGGATACGGGAGATGAGGCAGTGTGGAGGACACCAGAGATGGTGAAGTATGAAGGACACGGGAGATGGTGAATTATGAAGGACAGGGGAGATGGTGAAGTATGAAGGACACAGGAGATGGTGAAGTATGAAGGACACAGGAGATGAGGCAGTGTGGAGGACACCAGAGATGGTGAAGTATGAAAGGCACGAGAGATAGTGAAGTATGGAGGACACAGGAGATGTTGAAGTGTGGAGGACACGGGAGATGGTGTAGTATGAGGGACAACAGAGATGGTGAAGTGTGGAGGACTCCAGAGATGGTGAAGTGTGGAGGACACGGGAGATGGTGAAGTATGAAGGACACGAGAGATAGTGAAGTATGGAGGACACAGGAGATGTTGAAGTGTGGAGGACACGGGAGATGGTGTAGTATGAGGGACAACAGAGATGGTGAAGTGTGGAGGACTCCAGAGATGGTGAAGTGTGGAGGACACGGGAGATGGTGAAGTATGAAGGACACGAGAGATAGTGAAGTATGGAGGACACAGGAGATGGTGAAGTATGAAGGACACAGCAGATGGTGAAGTATGGAGGACACGGCAGATGGTGAAGTATGGAGGACACAGGAGATGAGGTAGTTTGGAAAACACCAGAGATGGTGAAGTATGGAGGACACAGGAGATGATGTAGTTTGGAAAACACCAGAGATGGTGAAGTGTGGAGGACACCAGAGATGGTGAAGTGTGGAGGACACCAGAGATGGTGAAGTATGAAGGACACGGGAGATGGTGAAGTATGAAGGACACGGGAGATGTTGACGTATGGAGGAGACAGGAGATGAGGTAGTTTGGAAAACACCAGAGATGGTGAAGTGTGGAGGACACCAGAGATGGTGAAGTGTGGAGGACACCAGAGATGGTGAAGTATGAAGGACAAAGGAGATGGTGAAGTCTGAAGGACACAGGAGATGGTGAAGTATGGAGGACACGGGAGATGGTGTAGGGTTGAGCACTATAAAGGTTTTCTGTATTTAGTGTTTATTCCTCACCTGTACTGATCTCTACCAACGTTTCCTCCTCCTTACACGGCTCATCATACAGCACATACATCTCCTCCTCCTCTTCTTCTTCTTCTTCTTCTTCTTCTTCTTTGACTTCAACTTTGAAAGCAATTACATCTTCTGCCTGAGATGATGTCAAATATAGAGAAAATATAACACACATTCACAGAATCCACACGGCTTTTCTACAGAACAGTGTGTGAGACCCTTCGTGTAACCAACCTGATCGTGGTGAGGGTTGCTGTGATCTTCCTCAGTAGAATCCTGGGAATACAGAGGACGAGTCTGAGGGATCTCCTGATGTTCCTGTGTGGAATCCCGGGAATACAGAGGACGGGCCTGAGGGATCTCATGATGTTCCTTTGTGGAATCCTGGGAATACAGAGGACGGGGACATCTCTCTGGGGTATTTCTGTTCCTGGATCCATCTGTAGGAAACACACACACTGACTGAATACATTGTTTCTATGTCTTTATATCAGAGGATGTGTGTATCTAGGGGGATCCTCAATACTCAAGAAATGAAAGTCTCCTCTTACCCGGTGATGTGAGGGGCGGCCGGTTCTCCATGGTAACGTCCCTGTAGAGATCCCGGTGTCCTTCTAGATACTCCCACTCCTCCATGGAGAAATAGACAGAGACATCCTGACACCTTATAGGAACCTGACACACACAATGATACAGTCACCACCCAGACACATCCCTTGTCTGTTCCTGGACCATGTCCCAGAATTCCCGGCACCGCTCACCTCTCCTGTCAGCAGCTCGATGATCTTCTGGGTGACTTCTAGGATCTTCTTGTCATTTCTCTCAGATGCCAGGGAAGGAGGTGGAGGCACTGTGATGGTTACCTGATCACCAGACTTCACAGGAGGAAACCTCTGTATTGAAACAAGAAAAGTGATGTCATGTGACCTCCCAGAATCCTCCTCACCTCTCCGGTCAGGTCTGTGTCTTATTACTAGAGATAAGAGTGATGTCATGTGACCTCCCAGAATCCTCCTCACCTCTCCGGTCAGCAGGTAGATGATCTCCATTGTGAGGTTTAATATCTTCTCAGTCATGTGACTCCAATCCTTCATCCTTATGACCTCCATGATCTACCAAGGTCAGGTTTTTGGAAGAAAGTTGGCTCCTTCACAACTGGACTTTCATCACAACTTTATCGACCTGGAAATATCCTAAACATGGAAAAAAATAATAACATTTACTATAAAGAGCGTAACAAAAAATTTGGCTTCAGAAAGTTGAGTGTCACCTTGAGATCCCTCCCCGAGGATCTGGGACCAAAAATTCCTCTCGGTCCAACAATAGAACCACGGCACTCCAACAGGTAACCTGAGGAGCTGTGTAGTGCAGGGAGGGCGAGTGTCATTGGATGGGGGAAGGTCCATCAAGAGAACCTGTCACAGTTCTCTCTTTATCACATAGCAACCCCTTTCTACATGATGACCTCTTCTTTCCTCCATACACAACTGATGTTCTCAGACCTTCGTACAGACCCCTCCATTGACCACGCATATGGCTATTCATACTAGGTCACCTCTAAGGGGTCGCTTTTAAGTCTCGTGTGTCGCCCATCCCCTGGATTTAATGACCTGAACGTCCATGTGCCACCCTTCTGAAACCGGCGTGAGGACCAGGCATTCCGCCTTTCCTGATCAGCCTCCTTGTGAAGCCGCTGGATCAGAATGGTGCCCAGGCAGCTAGCATTTTCAGAAGGAGCTCGGCCATGGAACCCACCCGTATTTCCTTCATTATGTCCCAGCACAGCAGATTGGTGGAGGAACCAAAGGAAACTGGACAGGACCAGAAAATGGCTACTGGAGGAGAAGATGGGACCGGTTATATGGACTCTCTCAGCTCTCAAGGACCTTAATGGAGAGGTCCCTCTGTCACTGCCAGAACCCCAATGATGGCGCACACATTCTCCACCTCTCATTGGGGGTCTATAATTTCTGGGTGGAGTTGGGAATACAGATAGGAGAACCTTCGGAGTACACAGGCCCGGGATCCCGGACAGAGGAGCCAAAGTAGTCATCACGACCATTTCAGCCTCAAAGCCTAAGGGAGAATTCTGGACCCCCCCACCTTTAATTTTTATCCATGAAGTCCAATCATTTTCCAAGTGTCTGTCATCTACAGGTGCCCCCTCGCCCCACTTCTTCAAGGGTAATTCCCATCTTGCTGACCCCCAGCAACATTTGGACTCACCGGACTCAAGCGGTAACCGACACAATCCTGAGGCCCTTAGAAATTCCCGGAGAGCTGAGAGTAGCTCAGCGTCCTCCGACCAGCATTCACTGAGCGGTCAGAAAAGGTGAAAGAGAGTCTCAGCCCCTCCTACTTCCTGAATATTCATCAGTTGTCATTAATATTCCTTATCCCTTCATTATTGTCTGCTAATAGGCCCCCAATGCCATAAATAGAGTAGAGGAAGATGATGTAGCCCTCACCTACTGCTACTTCCCCTTAAGATAAGTACAAGGCGGAAGTAACTGTCACCATACGGTCACTTCCGGAAACCTGGGATCGCTCTATCTCTGCTATTGAAGATTCGGCTCCTCCCACTGAGCGCTGCTCAAGAGCAAAGCCAAGCCCCGCCTTTCATATATGTTGGAGTCTCCGCCCGTCTCGAAGGCAGTGGGCTGTCCATATAAGGAAAGCGTGACGTCACCATGTTGGCCGCTCTAGTGAACACTAGAGGAGAAATGGGAGCTCAGCCGTGCGGGGGTTAAAGAGAAGCCATTTTTCCGAAGTCCCTGATATCCAACTACAGTTCCCAGAATGATTTGCTGGAATCCTTACTTATTATTTCCTGTTGGAGACCAGAAGAGGAGCAGCTTTGTTACTGGAATGA